GGACACCGGCCCTCCAGGACCGAGTTTGGACAGCCCTGGGCTAAGCTTTGTGCGTTGTTACTTTTGATCTGAAACAAAGTCTCAGATTTCAAATTCTGTCCATTTTATTAGGAAATACAAGCAATAAATACCGTTTTGGCGCTCTTTAATGTGGCAAGACAGATCGCTGTAGCTTAAACTGGGTACTCGCCTGTGCGTAATTAAACGCATAGCAAAAGACTGGTGACAGTTTTATTTTTGTTCTGTATCTGATGATCCCGTGCTCTTCTGCCACACTGCAGCGCACTCGCCACCAACTGGACAGGTGTGGGAATTACAGTTATAAATTACAATAGATCACCCTCAGTGTAATCTGTCAAAGTAACGCACGGCCTTCAGATTTTTCCGTCACTGCTAAAAAAATTCCATCAATGACGGAGAATTTTCGGTTAACGTGACCTCTGGTATGTATATGTATGTATGTATGGGTGGTTGAATTTTTATTTATTAATGTATTTATTTATTGGTAAATGTACTTGGCACAATTTAAACCATTATTATATTTTTCGGAAAATTTGCTTAACTGACATGGCGTTAATATAATAAAAAAAAAATGCACAATGCAACCAACTAACTAACTAACTAACTAAATAAATAAATAAAATAAAATTAATATAAATTTTTTTAATTTATAGATTTTGAATATAGATATATATATATGCACACACACACACACACACACACATATATATATATACACACACTTTATATAAAATAAACTGAATTTACTTCCCACTAGCTCCAATCACCTTACATTACCTTAATTTTGCCTCTAGGCTTTGTCGGTCTTAGGCAGTCTATTGGCTGGTTTTAGGAGGGTTTAGGCACTTTTCAGCTGGTCAGTCTGAACCTGGTCAGATTTTTCAGCAGGAAAATTAAACCTTCATATGAATAATTTTGTCTTTTGTTGCATGAGAAATCATCTCCACCACTGCATAATTACCGCAGGAGCCCTTTGAATTCCTCCTAATGAGCTCTCACTTGTTTCACTGGAGCATCTGAAAGAGAGATTAGAGGAATCAGGAGAGCTGACCGAATCCTGTGTTTTGCGACGGTGTTCTCATTTACTGCTGCAATGGGCTGCAGCCGTGGGCTTGCGGTTTGCAGTGGCCTCTGCGCTAACCCTTCCTCTGGAGCGGAGCGAGGTGAATTAATGCAGTCCTGTGTCCACAGGTGCCCGACGCCATCCTGAAATGCCAGCGTGCTGGAATCACTGTGCGTATGGTGACAGGAGACAACATCAACACGGCACGAGCCATCGCTATCAAATGTGGCATCATCCACCCCGGAGAAGACTTCCTGTGCATCGACGGGAAGGAGTTCAACAGGAGGATCAGGAATGAGAAGGGAGAGGTACAGTACTGCACACTTAGTGCAGGACACTGAGTATACAGCAAATAGTAACAGCATTTGTGGCATAATATCAAGAAAATGAGTTTGACTGGTCCAGTGCAATAAATGTTAACACACTGTCAAAAATACCATGAGACACAAATATTTATATTAAAGACCCCATGAAATGGCTTACAAGCAAAGTTTACTCTCCTGTGTATACTCTGTTCAAAAGTTTGGGTTTGGTAAGATTTTTATAATGTTTTCGAAAGAAGTCTCTTCTGCTCACCAAGACTGCGTTTATTTGATCAAAAATTACTATTTAAATAACTGTTTTCTAAGTGAATAAATACCAATTTCTGGCATGAAACTCCGACAAAACACTTCACACGGCACAGCTGATTGGTTCTCTCCTGTATCGGTGGCCAATGAGCTCGCTGCTCAACATTCAAATACTCGGCTAGTGTTTCCTGTAGCAGTTCAGTGCGCTTCAGAAACCCTCCACCTCCCCAGCTCCACCTGCATAGATCTGCTACGTGGTTATTTCACATATGTTACATGTGCAGGAGCAGCATTTCCTACATACTCACAGCAGCATGTCTGTGCAGTAGCTAGTCTCGGATCTACTGCTCAGATCGATTCCAACCACACCAAACACATTAACCTTGTAATGTACATTACTATGCTAAACTCTCCGAGAGTTGTCATGACAGAAATAGTAAACTGTAATGTATTTCTGTGATCAGAGCTGTATTTTCAGCATCATTACTCCAGTCTTCAGTGTCACATGATCTTCAGAAATCATTCTAATATGCTGATTTGCTGCTCAAGAAACATTTCTGATTATTATCAATGTTGAAAACAGTTGTGCTGCCCAATATATCTGGAAACTGTGATACATTTTATTTTCCAGGATTCTTACGGCAAACAGCATTTATTTGACACGGATCGTTTTTCTGTTGTTTTGAACTTTCTCTATTTAATGCATTCTATACATTTCTTTAAATAATAATAATCATAATAATCTTTCTGACCCCAAACTTTTGAACAGTACTACATTTCCATATGAAACCAGTATGCTTTAATTATGCAGGTTATGAAGCATGATTTGATGCATCCACAGTATCTGGTGGCAGCTGGTATTTTTGGGAGATGAACAGAAATCTGTGCAGCGCAGGATGAGTCAGCAGTGTTTTTCCTGTTTTTCTAGAAGAGAAAGACAGTGTCACATCACACATGAGTTGCATGCATTTTACTTTAGATAAAGCCCCTTGCTACTGCATAGCAAACTACAGTTTGAGAGAATCATTCCTCGTAACTTTGGTGGGAGGATATGAGAGATGCGCCACAATGATTATAACTAGGAAAAATGACAAAGCATCTGTCATCGTCTAGAGACTGGAAGTTATTTCTTCTGTATTGCTTAAAATCTATGTTTTCTCTGCTGGTTTGAAATGTGTCTGTCTTCTACGTTATTTTGATAAGATGTCTAAGTTTTATGAAGTCTGTAACTATCTGTAAATCAGTGCTTTCAAACCTCACCCACAGACATGCATCATCTTTTAAAGAGCTTTTAAAGCCTCAGGAATGTCGATTTTCATTCAAATGCATTACTGCACACATGATTTTGGCATTAAAGGGGTCATATGATGCTTTGTTAAAGATAATTACATTTGGGCGGCATTATGCAAATATTTCCACATAGTGAGGTAGATATGTGGGGGCGTGTTAGAACGAGCCGTTTTAGGGGGGTGTGGCAGAGTCTAAACTTTGATAAAGAATATCTCATTGGTTTTGAGACTTTAGTCTTTGCAACTTCAGGGATCTTATCTACGCACAATCAGCTTGTAACACTCCAAAGAGAAAGGAAAACTTGAAATCGCATCATAATGACCCCTTTAAAGAACGAGCTGAGATGATTGTCCAAAGCATTGCTTCATATAGCTGTCTGTACTCTGATCATTTATGGGGCTTTTTTATGATGTTGTGATTGCATTAGTCGCATGTGTACTCTCTGCTAGCAATGCACTGCTGTCATTGATATAGACAGTTACTGAACACATTTGAAAGCTGGCCGTTCTAACAAACACCCCACATGTGAATGATGGACGCCGTGTGATTTAATACACAGTCAAATCATTTATATGTAAATGCGACGTCTTTTCTGATGAATGTTTACACTCATTGCAACAAGAAAGATATCTTAGAGCTGGATTTGATTTTTTCACGTTGTATACTCGTGGCTGTTTTATGGATTCCATCAGATGGGTGTATAGCCAGTTTTTGGCAGCTGTAATGAGCGTCTTTGTCATGATGGATGCACGTCTGTCTCATGTCTCTGGCAGGTTGAGCAGGAGCGCATTGATAAAGTGTGGCCTAAACTGCGAGTGCTTGCCAGATCCTCACCGACGGACAAACACACGCTGGTCAAAGGTGAGGGAACCTGCATGAGTATCAGTCACAATCAGAACCGTATAGACTAAGCACTGCTTTATTCACGTATTCACATATACGGAAAGTTATGAAGGGACATAACTAGAGGCCTGAAGATCTTACAAAAATGATGATTACTCTAACATACACTGAACATTTTTTTGAAGTTTAGAGTATCTTTTACAAGGAAATACTATAAAATGGTTTCACCACCATTTTTTTTTTCAGTGTATTATAAATATATAACCACATTTTAATGGAGATTGTGATCTAAAACTATTACAAAACATGTCAAATTAGCTGATGAACAGCTAGGGACCGACATTTTTAGATGAACAATCTGCTAGACATATTTGAGCTCCTGTCAGTTTACACACAGCAGCAGAGTGCTCTGGAATCAGATCTGTGTTACATAAGACTGAGCGTCACGGCTGAAGTTACAGGATAATTAACATGCTGTAAGTAAATGTTGCGCTGTAATTACATCACTAGTGTATTTAATTAGTTATTTCCAGGCGTTATCGCTTGATTGTCCCTGATGTTTTGCTATCGCATAGCTTTAATGCTGGCAACATATGGCTGTTCGTTATAAGTGTTAAATCTAGTAAAGGAGAAGCATTTGTGTCCACAACATTTGATGAAGTGCACTAAACACACAATTCTGCTGTTAAGTAATTTGCAAGCTTGAGTATATACATTTAAACTTAATTTCTTCCTTATTCAGTTATTATTTTATATTTATTTATTTATTTACAAATAAATGATAATTGTATAAAATAATAATACTTATGATATTAATAATAATTATTAATACTGCACACACACACATACAGAGCTGGGTAGATTACTTACAAAGTGGAGTCCATTACTCGTTCCAAATTACATGACAAAAATTGTAGTTAGTAACGTAATCCATTACATTGCACATGTTAGGTAATATAATCAGACTACTTTTTGATTACTTGTAGGTTACTTTTTACCTAAAGGCTGGAATACACTACATGACTTTTAAAATCAAATCATTTTTAAATAACATCAATCATAAATAAAATAAAAAAAAGAAAGAACCTTACTAAAAATTACTCTTTTTTTTTTTTACCTGCGTGTCATGTAGGCATTTTAGAAAGGAAAATGCAAAAGATGAAAAATAATTCGGGAGAATCAGTAAATTATGAATCATTTCTTGCTACTGTGTGAATATATGTAATCAAGTAATCAATAAAACAAGTAACTGTAGTCTGATTACAAGCATTTTGAAATGCAATTTTCTTGGAATCTGATTATGTTTTTTATACATACATATACAGTATATGTGACCCTGGAGCACAAAAGCAGTCATAAGTAGCTCAGGTATATTTGTAGCAATAGCCAACAATACACTGTATGGGTCAAAATTATC